CCCCCCCCTGACCATGGCCGGACGCTCCTCCCTGCTCCAGGCGGTCTGCCTGCTGCTGGCGCTCCTCTGCCTGGTGCCCACCCTGGCGGTGGCCCAGATCAACGACTACACCCAGCTGTATGGTGCCGATGACAAGCGCACCTTCCACCTGGCGGCGGACTTCAACTACCGCCGTGCCGGGCTCCCCGCCGACACCACCCTCAAGCCGGACAGCGCTCGTGCGTATGCCTCCATGAATGGCGGCGTCCTGGACCTGAAGATCTACCATCCCCCCCCCACCGAGGCCATCACCTGGTACCTGGCCGGCCCGCGCATCTGCCAGAGCGACTCCGGCGGGTGGATTTCCCCGGACGACGTGGCTTGCAGCGGCCGCCGGGCGCCCATCATCGCCAAGCTCGGGACCATCCCCGCGGCCGGGACCGGCATCGTCCGGGCCTCGATCAAGCTCAACCCCCATGTGGCCTCGTATGTGCTGAATGATGCCGTCATCATCTACGGCACCACCAAGACCCACCCGAATGGCCTGCTGCTGGGCACCCTGCAGCCGGTTTCCCGCTGGACCAACGACTCCCAGTCTCCCGTCATCCAGATGCTGGACTTTGTCCCCAACCGCGGGGAGTTCTCCAAGCCGGACAACTCCTTCGAGAAGAGCAAGAGCACCAACTCCGGGTCCGGGCTGCTGCTCTTCCGCGGCATGGATGTCTTCCCGAATTTCCAGCTCACCATCCAGCTGTCGCACAGCATGTCCAAGCCCACCAAGATGATCATCCACTGCCCGAAGTTCCGGCAAACCTTCAACCTGGACCCCAAGTCGCCCTTCTTCTACCAGGACATCCGTTACGATGATGCGGACTTCTATCGCGAGCTCCTGACCAAGGATGCCTGCATCTTTGCCCTCATCTCCTCGGACCAGGTGACCGGCGAGCTGTTTGCCTTCCCCCAGATGACCGCCGAGTACACCTCCCTCATCACCCAGCCGGAGTCCGACTTCACCTTCTTCACCCTGATCGATGTCAACCCGGTGACCGAGCAGATGCTGGTCGTCCCGCGGACCTCCCTGCTGGCCGAGGACACCTCCTACGTGGCCGTCCAGCTGGTCGACCCGCCGAGCAAGAAGGACGATGCCATCGTCTCGCGCGACATCTGCATTCTCTTTGACGCCGAAAATGAGGGGCTCTCCTCCGACGACCACCTTAAGCGGTACCGCCGGTGCCGCCTTGACCCGGCCGATGCCCAGCTCCTTCGCACTGGCCACCAGCTGGGCATCTATGTGGCCCCGAAGGCCGGCCAGGCCGCCATGCGCCGGCTGACCTCGCCCCAGGTGGCCGAGCTGAGCCCCGGCACCGGCACCTCCTCGGCCACCGGTGCCATCATCGGCATTGCCGTCGGCGCGGTGGTCCTCGTGGCCATTGTCGCGGTCGGCATGTTTGTCTTGGCCAAGCAGGGCGTCATTGGCAAGTGAGCGCACCCACGCGGGGATCTCCCCGCCGTGTGGGTTTGTCTTTCGTTCTCCGCCTCGCACCTCGCCCTTCCCCCTTTGCCGCCCGGGGAGGGAGGAGGCGCGGGCCGGGGGGTGGGGTGGGGCGTCTGCATGCACAGTCTCTGCATGCGTGCATGCTCCTTGCCCATCTCCTCCTCTCCCCCCCTACCACGAGGCCGAGAGGGGAGGGAAGGAGGGCGCGGAGTGAGCCCGGGCGTGTGTGTGTGTGTGTGTGCGTGTGTGTGTGCACCAGGCGTGCCACAGCCTCCATCCAGTTCCCCTCGCTCTCCCCCCTCCATTCGCCCATCCTCCTCTCTCGCCTGGCGTGTGCCCTCCCCTGCTCAAATGTACGACTGCAGGCCAGTCTTCCTCCCCTCACTTTTTCCCCTCCTTCCGGTTTTGGCCTTGTGTGTTGCTTTGCCTTTCTCCCCCCTCTCCCCGGTGCCCGGCTGGCATTCTTCCTCTCAAGCCTCGGTGGCTCTTTCTCTCGAGGGGTGGTGCGGGGGCAAGGGTGGGATGTTTATTCAAGCGAGAGGGGGAGCCGGGAACAGCAGGGCTTGGCTGGTGTGACATGCTTAGCCGGCCGACTGCGCCACGGTCTCCGTGTCTCGGGCGATGGTGGCGGCCGTCCCGACCGGCGGGAAGTGCGGCTGCGACTGATCCCCCCGCAGGTTGAGGAACTCGGTGGCCGAAATGGAGTGGTTGGCGCGCTCAAACCAAACCGGACTCAGACGGAAGGAGCGCCGAACACGGATGGCCGTGTGGGCCGACCGGCGCGATGGGGGGTCCTCCCGGGATGGAAGCCGGCCGGCCTGCTCCTCGGCCGGCGACAGACCCAATCCGCCGTAATGGTCGAAGGGCGCGGCATTGATGCCCAGATGGCATCGGAGGAATGCCCCGGCTGTGGTGATCGTTGCCTGGCCGGTGGACTCCTCCATCGAGATGACTGTGTCCGCGAAGGACCCCGGCTGGGCAAGGGCCACGGCCAAGTCCGGCAGCAGGACGCGCAGACAAATCAAGTGGTCCAGCAAATCGCGCAGGTCGCCCATGGACACCAGCTCTGCCATTGCCGCAAGGAGGGTCGGCTAAGGGCAGGATCGGCCGTGTCGCATGTGCGTGCGTGCATATGTGTGTGTGTGTGTGTGGCAGCAATAGCCAATGGGGATGGAGAATGAGGCCAGGAAAGGCGAAGAGGAATGTGGGAGGGGGCACAGGGGGAAAAGAGAAGAGTTAGAGGACTCCAATGGGCCAGATGCCAGGTCAGGGGCTCTCCCTGTCGAGGCGGCGAAGGGGGCGGACCTCATCTGCGACACCGCCGGTTAGGACCATTTGCCGAATGAGCGCATGCTGGAAGGACTGCGAAAGGGCCAAGGGGTCAGTGTCAGCCAGGCTGTAGCAGCGACAGCCATGAGGGGAGAGGCCGCAAGGTGGGAGCCAGGGCATGGAGGAGGGGGCCGAGGCAAGCCCGAGAAATGTACATCGAAAAGCTGGCGGTTGTAGCCGGCCGCCAAATCAGACCAGGGCCGCCGAGGGAGGCGGACCCTACTGCGATCCATCTGCTCCAGGAAGAAGGGACTGGCAAGGAGCGTGGTCTTGACATGGCCCTCACGAATGACCAGTCCGAAGCCCACCAAGTGCGCAAGGGCCAGGTGGATATGCTCGAAGGAGAAGGCAGCCAGGGCCTGGAGCGGGGAGCGGCAAGCATGCATGTCAGACCATGTGGCAGGGCAGGAGGGGGGGAGGGGGGGGGGAGCAGCCGGCTCAGCTCATCGGAAGGCGTACCGGATCCCGTGCGACGATGGACTCCCGCACGCCGGCGGACCCGGCGCGCCAGATGCTCGCAAAGAGAAGGGTATGAGGCAGCAAGGCCACCTCCTGGCTGAAGCCCACGCCGTGCGCTCCGGCGCCAAGGCCGAGCGCCTCGTCCGCACGCAGGGATGCATGCCAGCCGAGCGACAGTAGCCATTGGTGCAGGGCCGGAGCCCACCGTTCCGACCCGGGCACCGTGCTCGGGTCCAGACCAGTGGCATGGGGAGCCAGCGGAATGGCCGGCCGCGGCCCGAGCAGGGTGGCCGACCGCAAGGGCTCCGCCAGGGCATGCGGATCAGAGGAGGGCTCTTCCTGGCCAGGCGGCACGCGCCGGGCGGGGACCGTGGCCACCGAGGTGGCGGTGGCTCCCGGGCCGGCTGCCGGGCAGGAGGGGCTTTCCAAGAGGGAGGTCAGCTGCAAGCTGCGTGGCGTACGCTGAGCCGGGGCCGCCGTTGGCTGACGGGGGTCCTGGCCATGCTGCCCGGCCAGGGCGCTATTTGCCCATGCCGGTTGGACCACCAGCTGCAGGCTCTCGAGAAGACTGACGCCCGACCGGCCATACCGGCCATGGGCAAAGGCCAACTGCCGGAGGCTGTCCAGCCCGTCATTCTGCTCGCCAGCCACCGAGGCCGCCGACGGGGACTGCGGACCGCTGGCCAGGTCGCCCCCGGCTCCGGGGGACTGGACATCGCCACCATTCAGGGAGGAACCACCGGAGGTGGAGGCCGGGCCGGTGGCGCCGGCCAGCGAGCCACCCGCACCGTGGGGCGCATGACTGCGATCCGCGCCCAGCCCCAGGGGGAAGTGGTCGAATTGCGGGAGGATGCTGATGCGGCCCGTGTGGCGCAGGCCCAAGATGCAGGCCACCGCCCCGCCATGCCACACCATCGGCAGGGTGAAGGCGGGCGTTTCCTCATCCTCATGGCTGGTCGTGGTCTCGGTGGCCGAGGCCGAGGCCACATCATCGAACAGCGACTCGGCCGGGGCCAGGTCCCGCGTCAGGGCCGCATGGCAGGCAGTCGCACCGGCAAGCAGAGCGGCGACCGCGCCATCCTGCGAGGAGCCCGACGCATTGCTGAGGGCCGAGGAGGTGCCGAAGAGGGCCGCCAAAAAGCGCTCCGTCACATTGAGCGGCCGGGCGGGGGTGGATACCGTGGCGAGGGCCTCCCTGGGCGCCGGTGCACCGGAGCTGGCATTGCCACTTGCCGAGGCCGCGCCTGATGCGGCCGCTGGGTGTGTGGCCGTAGAGCACAACGCGGATGCCGGGGCGCCGGTCGCCGATGGGGACACCGAGCCCGCAGGCGCCACCGGAGACAGGGGGCTGGCCACGGAGGCGGGAGTGGCCACAGGCGCCGGACTTTCCACGGTCATCGAGTCGCTTGTTGCCGTTGGCGCGGTGGCGGCCGGAGCGTTGGCCATTGCTGCCGACCCGGCCGAGGGAGCAACAATCACGGACGGCGCGGCCAGCTGAATCATGCCAAGCTTCTCGGAAGAGGAGAAGGCCGCCTCGAAGGCCGTGGTCGGCAGTTGACGCGCAAGAAGGTAGATAATCAAGGGATCCACGGACTTCCCGGGCTGGAGAAGCACCGACTGGGTGTGCCAACCAGGGACGCGTGTGCGTATGTGTGTGTGTGCGCGCGTAATTGCGTGTGTGCGCGCGTAATTGCGTGTGTGCGTGTGTAAGTACGCATGTGCGCGTAAATACGTGTGTGCATACATTAGTACATGTGTGCGTGTGTGCGTGCGTGCGTGCGTGGGCGCGTGGGTGTAGCGGTAATGGCCGATGGGGATGGAGAATGAGACAAGGAAAGGCGAAGATGCCAGGCCCGGGACGAGTCGCACCTTGATGAGGTTCAGTGCTTGGAAGAAGTGCTCCGCACGGTCGGCTTCCGATGTGGGGGGGAAAGCTAGCAAGTGGTCACACGCAACAATCGGACCCGTCGGAGTGACAGGGCCGGTGGTCGGCGGCTGCCAGCCGGTGCTGGCCATGTCCCAAAGCGTGCGCCCGGTCCCCGGGGCCGTGGTGCACGAGTCCTCCAGGGCCAGCAGAGGATTCGGCGACCCGGCAGCTGGTTGATGGTTTGATCGGATGTAGTTGCCAGACAGATAGTGGCGGCGGTCTTGAAGCGAGGCAGACAACGCGCCGCGCACTTGCCAGGCATTGTGCTCGGCGTGGCGATCGGCCGAAGCCGCGCCGCCGGCACCCCCGGAGGAGCCATTCGCGCCTTGGAGGTGTGGGTTTCGCAGAGGACCGGCCACCACCCAGCGTGGGAGGGTCAGCGCATCGGGGCCACACCCCGGGCCAAGCCCGGGCATGAGCGATGCACGGGTGTCCTGCGCACTGGCAGCCCGCCGGCTCGGGGGCGTCACGCCGGCCGCCAGGCCGAACGAAGTCCACATGTTCCGCTGGACCAGGCGACTGAGCCGCGCGGTGCCCTGCATGGAGGACTCGAAGGGCGGCCGAGAGCTGGCCGTCCGCACGGGTCGATAGGTGTGCACAAAGTCCGCATGGTTGCGCAGCAGACGCGGCAGCGGCTTGTACCCGGGCAGGTTATGTCGGCCCGGGGTGAAGGTTGCCACCTCGGCGGCGGGGGCGTCGGCAGACGCGGCGGTCGACATGTCGACGTCCATGCTGGCAGGCCCGCCGTCCCCCTCGGCCAGGGACCGGAGATAGTGCTCCTCGATCGGTGGCCACCGGTCCACCTCGCTGAGGAGCTCCTCCTCGGACATGATATCGCGCGAGATCCACAATTCTTCGCATGGCCCGGCAGGGTCAGTCGAGGGTGTGAGGCGGCATGGGCCTGCCTGCGGCAGGGCGGAGGATGAGGAGGAGAGGGGGGAAAAAAAGCCCAAGACGACGAGATCGCCGGGAAAATGCTGTCAGCTGGCGCACCATGGGACTCGTGCAGCTGTGTCCCCCGGGGACCATACTGTGCGGTCCAAAGATTCCGTCGGATGCGCTGCCGATCACGAATGAATCCCTCCAGCTGGGGGTTGCCGGTCCGGAGGGAGATCATTCGCCGCTGGCAGGCGGCTTTTTTTTTTTTGGCAATCCCCGGCAAAAGACGAAGGCTCATGGGGTTAGCAACAGCCAGACACACCGGCAGAAGGGCAAGAAGGCCAGGCGAGGGGAGGAGACAGGAGCCGCTTGGAAGGCGGGCAACTCACCGACTGACAGCTGCCCCACCAGCGTGGTGATTAGGCCCCACGGGAGACCCCCCCGACGGCGGGCCTCCTCGCTGGCGGTCGCCCCGACGATGACCGAGTACACCAAACGCTTGAGATATGGGAAGGGGGGGAGGGAGGGGCGCATGTGAGCGGGGCAGGAAGATGCAAAGACCAACCCCATCCAGGGGG